TTCTGATTGGTTCTCTCTGGTTCTGACTGGTTCTCCCCGGTTCTGCCGGCTCCTCCCTGCTCAGGTTCCTGTTCAGCCCGTCCGCCTGCCTGGACGAGCACATGCTCCAGTTCCGGTTCCTGGGCATCCTGATGGGCGTGGCCATCCGCACCAAGAAGCCTCTGGACCTGCACCTGGCGCCGCTGGTGTGGAAGCAGCTGTGCTGCATCCCGCTGCAGCTGGAGGACCTGGAGGAGGTGGACCTGCTCTACGTGCAGACGCTCAAAAGCATTCTTCACATTGAAGACAGCGGCATCACCGAGGACAATTTCCATGAGGTGAGCGGCTCAGCCCTTCAGTTAGGGGCCTCTTTGGATCTGAAACGCTGCCTTTCAGCTTCTTTATCTGAGAAATCCCACTGAGACGGCCGGCCGACTCTCGTTGGTTCTGATTGGCTCCAGCCAGCTTTAATTTGCTCCGATTAGCTCCGATTGGCCTTGATTGGCCAGCAGCGGCACGGCGCCTTTAACCTCCTGAGACCCAAAGCATTTTTCTGGTTTCTGCTTTGTTCCAGATATCTGGTTCCGTAGCAGCTGATAATTTTAACTAGACTTTGTTCTGGTTCAGGTATTTTTTCTTCATAGAGGCTCAGTGGGTTTATTTTCAGATTTAAAATGTTTGTTTAGAGATTTAATTAAATGTTTTTGCCTTTTGGTTCTGAGGGTGCAAATGACTTATTTACTATATTTAAATTCCACAATAAGATCATGATTGGTGTAAAACCGAGGAACCCACTGGAGGAAAGAAAGCTAAAATAAGCTAAGATATGCTAAGCTTATATATATAATAAACTGAGCTAAGATAAACCAAGCTAAGAGGAGCTCAGCTAAGATATATTAAACTAACTAATATGTTAAACTAAGATAAGATAAGCTAAGATAAGATAAACAAAGATAAGCTAGGCTAAACAAGCTAAGCTAAACTAAGCTCCATTAAGCTAAGCTAAGGATCAGAGTTCCTAACAACACAGACCCAGCAGCGTATCAGGGCTGCTCAGAGGAGGAGCATCAGCCTGTGTTTGTCCTGCAGATGATTCCTCTGGATGCGTTCGTCGGGCAGAGCGCCGACGGGAAGATGGTGCCCATCATCCCCGGAGGGAACAGCATCCCGCTGACCTTCTCCAACAGGAAGGAGTACGTGGAGCGGGCCATCGAGTACCGGCTGCACGAGGTGGACCGGCAGGTAGGAGCCGCTGGGGGGCGGGAGGGCTCTAGGGGGAGGGGCCAGGGGCCGACCGGGCCTTGTGGTTCTGTCTGACCCTGGTCCTGGTCTTGGTCCTGCCCCCCCAGGTGGCGGCGGTGCGCGAGGGCCTGTCGTGGATCGTGCCGGTGCCGCTGCTGTCGCTGCTGACGGCGCGGCAGCTGGAGCAGATGGTGTGCGGCATGCCGGAGATCTGCTGCGACGTGCTGCGGAAGGTGGTGCGCTACCGGGAGGTGGAGGAGCAGCAGGCGCTGGTCCAGTGGTTCTGGCAGACGCTGGAGCAGTTCTCCAACGAGGAGCGGGTTCTGTTCATGCGCTTCGTGTCCGGGCGCTCGCGGCTGCCCGCCAACACCGCCGACATCTCCCAGAGGTTCCAGATCATGAAGGTGGACCGGGTGAGTGGACCGGGAACGGGGCCGGAACTGGGAACGGGGCCGGGAACGGGGCTGGAACCGGGAACGGGGCCGGATCCGGACCCAGAACCAGAACTGGGCCCTCTGCTGACCCTCGGGGCCCCAGAACTGGGCCCTCTGCGGGCCCAGGGTGAAAACCGTGCCCTCTGGGCCTCAGAACCAGAACTAGGCCTTTTTAAAGTCGGGGGGGCTTTGTGAACCTCCAGGGAGCCCAATCTGGTTCTGGTTCTGACCTGGCTTCCCTCTCAGCCTGGGGGACAACTGGTTTTCTAAAAGGTCCAGTTTTCTGTGACTGCATGCTGAATTACAGATCTGGAGATCTGGGTCGTCTTTAAGCCTCAAAATGAGCTTGTTTTAGCATCCCAGGTTCTGGTTCTGACCCGGTTCCCTCTCAGCCTGTTAGTTTTGGGCTGACCTGAAGCTCCAGGCAGAGTTCTGGAGGCTTCTGGCTCGTTTTTTAAGCCTTAAAATTAGCTTTTTTAGCCTCAGAGATTCTGGTTATTGTGGTTGTTGTGGTGGTTCTTGTTCTGGTTCTGACCCGGTCTGTGCCCGCAGCCCTTCGACAGCCTGCCCACCTCCCAGACCTGCTTCTTCCAGCTGCGCCTGCCCCCCTACTCCAGCCAGGCCGTGATGGCCGAGCGGCTCCGCTACGCCATCAACAACTGCCGCTCCATCGACATGGACAACTACATGCTGTCCCGCAACGTGGACACGGCCGAGGGCTCCGACACCGACTACTGAGCCCCTCCCCCCCCCCCACCCCCCCGAGGGCCCGAGGCTCCGACACGACTGCTGAGCCCCAGCGGCGTCCACCAGGCCGGCGCCACCGGGCCAGTGGCGGCGTCCCGGCGGCGTCTCTGAGGGAGCAGCGCAGACAAACTGTGGTCATATTTGTGGTTCAGTAGCAGTTTGAAGATGGAAATCCAGCTGGTTCCCCCTGGTGCTTCCAGGAGGAGCTGGGCCCACCGGGTCTGGGTCTGGGTCTGGACCGGGCCCACTGGGTCTGGGACCAGGACCGGGACCCGGACCGGGCCCACCATGTCTGGACTGGCCCAGTTTGGCCTGGTTGGTCCTGGACCGCCCCGGTTGGTTCTGGACCGGCCCATTTGGGCCCGGTTGGTTGTACATTGTGTAAAATGCTTGATCAGCAGGTTTTGCTTTGTAATCATATTTATTGTTTTCAACGGCGCAGAAACAATAAAAAAACGTTTCAAAACGCCAGAAGGGCTCGACAGCTTTTTACTGCTGCCGGAACCAGACCCAGGCGGAGGAAAACGGAACCAGAATCGCGTTGAGTCAGCAGGTTCTGATCCAAAGTGGTCAGAAAACAGAACCAGAGACGGGCTGCAAGCAGAATCAGGTTCTGGAAAGTCGTCTTCTTCTTCTTCCTGTCTTCTCCTTCTTCTTCCTCTCCTTCTTCCTACTTTTCTTCTTCTTTTTTCTTCATCTTCTGGGTTTTGTAGGCAGCTTCCTGTCGACTCAGACCGGATCCGAGCAGGAACAGTCCAGACCTCCGTATTTATCACCAACACCGGCTTCAGAACTGGACTTCAAAACATCACCAGACATCCGATGGCCGACCCAAAGAGTTTCTGACTGATCAGCAGCCTTTTCTGCAGGAGGGACGGCAGAGAGACTTCAGCTCTGCTGCTTTTTGGCGTTTGAACACTCAGTGGGAGGAATTTCTAACAAAGAGGGAATGTAAAAGACCCGTTTCCACGCAGTGTGTATGACCTGTGTTCAGGTTAACACAATCCCTTTGGGTCAAAGTGGGATCCAGATCCAGGCTTTGAACGCCTCACTTTCAGCCTCCCTCTGGTGGCCAAAAGGAGAATTACAAAAACACACATCCTCTATTTTTTTGTTTAATTTTTTATCTATAGTTACTTAATTTATTTAGTCATTTTAGTTACATAAATTTGTTTCTATTTTCATTTATTTATGTTTAATGTTTATATTTCCTCATTTGTATTTATTCAGATTTTTTAGTTGTGTTTATTTTAGTTGCATTTAATTATTACTGTTTATTTATATTTTCATTTGTTTTTTTCTTTTCTTTAATAGTAACAGAAGCTTTTATTCTGGGAGAATTTTTGTATTTTATTACATGATAAATTCTCAGGTTTCTGTTTTCTTTGGGCTGACAGCCAATGGGAAACTTTTACCCTCATTCACATAAATAGTGTTTAATAGTTGAACCTACAAAAGAAGTTGATGGTTAATGTTTGGCCTCGTTTGGCTCTTTTGACCGGTGGTCAGTTTGAGGTCAGTTTGGGTTTCTGTGGTGCGTCTGTGGGTCAGAGGGATGTCTGAACCCTCTGGACTCAGAATGAGGAGCCACACCAGAGTCCTTCATCCCAGCGGCTTTTATTCAGAGCTCAGGAACTCCTCCTGCTTCTGTGTCCTACCAGCAAACGGCCCAGCGGGCAGCGGCCGGCAGAAGGACGAGGGTCCAGCCGAGGCCTGGAAAGACAGAAGGTCAGTTTTCATCCCCAAACCACACAAATCACCAGTTTTTACCAAAAAATCCCCCAAAACATCCAGTTTAGGTCTCATGTTGGCAGTTTGCTGCTGCTTTACAGACACAAACGTGCTCATCCGCCACAGAATATAGTCCCCGACAAACAGATTCCTTTCATTTGTTCTGTAAAAACTGGTCATTAACCCAACCCGAGCAGCCAAGACCCCGAAAGACACAAACAGCCAACTAAACCTGTTAACATCAGTAAACATCTGGAGATCCTTAGGCTGGTTAAGTTCAGCCCAGGAGACAAAAGGGGGGAGAGGAGAAGGAGGGGGAAGATGAGCATGGTTAGTCTTTGGCTTCCTAAAGACGCCTGCAGAGGGCTGATGAGACCCCTTCATTTGAACAACATTTCTTTCATGCTTCATTTATGGCCCATGACAAGGTTTAAGGTTTTATCGGTGTTCACAGAAGCGTCACACGGCCAGTAAAGCCATGTTTTGATATGATTTGGGGAGATCAGAGGGGAGCTCATTCTGCTCTCTGAAGGACTGGAAATTAGTGTTTATGGAGTTTTTAAAGGTAACAGGGAGTTGGAAATTATCTTTCTTTGTTTAAAATGGGAAATTAATGAAACAGTAGAGAACTGATTGTTTGGAAGTGACACTAAAACTAAAAATTCAGATAATTCATAGAAATTGTCATCTAGTTCTGATTTAAAAACAGGTTCAGGGGACCTACCTGACTGTTTGACTCCACCGGTCGGGACTGAAGTGACAGACTCTGAAAAACAAACGCACCCGGTCAGAGTTTGAAGGAGAATCTCAGAAAATGAATCCAAGATCCTCAAAGAAAGTTAGATCATTCTGAGAAATGAGAAGAAAAAGAAGCTCTGGTGGGTCAGGTCTGGTCTGGTCTGGTCTGGTGGGTTGGGTCGGGTCTGGAAGGTCTGGTCGGGTCTGAAAGGTCTGGTCTGGTGGGTCTGGTCTGGTCTAGTCTGGCTCGGTCGGGTCTGGTGTGGTGGGTCAGGTCTGGAAGGTCTGGTTTGGTCTAGTAAGTCAGGTCTGGTCTGGTTTGGCTTGGTCGGGTCTGCTGGGTCTGGTCTGGTGGGTCGGGTCTGGTCTCGTCTAGTCTGGTTCGGTTGGGTCAGGTCTGGTGGGTCTGGTCTGGTCTGGCTCGGTCGGGTCTGGTCTGATCTGGTCTGGTCTGGTCTGGTCGGGTGGGTCAGGTTTGGAAGGTCTGGTCTGGTGGGTCGGGTCTGGTCTGGTCTGGTCAGGTGGGTTGGGTCGGGTCTGGTTTGGTCAGGTGGGTCGGGTCTGGAAGGTCTGGTCTGGTCAGGTGGGTTAGGTCTGGTCTGGTCGGGGGCGCGCCTCACCTGTCGCGCGCTCCAGCCGGATGCTGTAGTCGGAGAACTCGTGGCGTTTGCTGACGGAGCACACGTGCGTGCCCAGGTCGCGCGGCGCCACGCGCAGCACGCGCAGCGCGATGCTGGCGGGCCGGTAGCTGATGGCGTAGCCCGCGCTGCAGTTCCGGAAGGCCGCGTGCTTGATGAGGTGGCACAGCAGCCGCCCGCGCGGGCCGCGCCACTGCACGGACAGCCGCGGCTCCGCGCGCGCGTCCTCATAGTGGTACGCGCACGGCAGCGTGGCGGCGTGGCCGAGGCGGCACGCCACCGTCACGGAGCCGCCGCCCGCGGTGCCGCCTGCGGTAACGCTTGCGGTGCCGCTTGCGGTGACGCTCGCGGTGACGCCTGCGGAGCGAGCAGCGGAGTGATACAGCAGAACCTCTACTTACGATCACCTAAACATACGAATTTTCCAACATCTGATTTGAAATTCGGTCAAATATTCACACCCGAAGTGAATTTCGAAGTCATAGAAAGAAAAAAAAAGCATAATTCTATACATAATATAAAAATAAATAGGCAAAGTTAGTCATAGAATTTTTTTTATTTTATATTTTTTGTTTTTAAATATATAATTCAATAAAAATAAATAAGCTAAGTTAGTTAGCATTTGTTTTATTGCTAAGTGTAATTATCTGCAGTATTTATTAAGGAGTTATCATATCTTTTTGGAACGAATTATAGCAATTACAGTGTATTCTGATGGGAATATTTGAACCAACGTACGAATACTTTAACATATGAAGTAGGTCCTGGAACCAGTTAAACTCCTCTGTAGAGGTTCTGCTGTACTCAGTCCAGAGCAGCAGAAGGACCTCGGGCGGGTTCTGAAGCTGTGAGGAACCTCTCCGCTGAGGCTGGAAGCCTGAACAACGGCTGTTTTCCACTCAGATCCAAGCTTCTGGGCCGGGTCAGAACCGGAACCCCGACCAGAACCGGAGCCCGACCCGGCTGGACTCACCTCCTCCCAGCAGCCGGGGCAGAACCAGGCCGAGCAGCAGAGCAGCAGTCCTCCACATCTGTCAGCAGGTGAGCAGCCACTTTCACTATCACTGCGTGTTCTGTTACAAGCCGGGTCGGGCCGATCGGGCCGGGTCACAGCTGATACCCGACACCTCACAGCGCCACACAGAGATCAGCACAAAGCCCTCCACAACACTCAGGCTCAGCAGAACCTGCAGAAGAACCAGCACCAGAACCAGCAGATAAACCAGAACCAGAGCCTGCAGCAGAACCTAAAGGAGGTCAGACTGAACTCTTCTTCTGGTGTTTTTTCTGGTTCCAGGTCATCTAGATGGTTTTCTGTGACCTGATGGGGTTGAAAAAGACTCGCTTTCCCAGGATGCACCTCTCCCAGAACCCTCCATCCAGCCCCTCAGAGCCCATGAGGCGGCCAGGTTCTGCTCGGTTCTGGACCCGGTTAGAGCCGGTTGGGTTAGCTGAGCTAACAGCCACAGACACACAAAACAACCACAAAAATACACAAAACAACCACAAAGAGCTACACATCACACAGACACAAGCGGCCGACTTGAATCAGTTTATTGTGAAAATGAAACAGAACAGATGTGAGAACACGCCGGCGGCCCCAAAGCCGCCTTCCCAGGATGCACCTCTCCCACAACCCTCCAATCCAGCCCCTCGGAGCCCATGAGGCGGCCGGGTTCTGCTGGGTTCTGCCAGGTTCTGCGAGGATGTGCGGGGTTCTGGACCCGGTCCGGGCCGGTGGGGTTAGCTGAGCTGGGAGATGAAGCCTAAACTGGGCCGACACTCGGCCGCCTGTCGGGTTACAGGAGCTGCTACACAAACACCACTCAGGTTTATTTACAGAGTCCTAAAAACGTGGCACCACCACTCAGAGCTGGAGAAAAGAGGAGCAGACGTCCCAGAGGGGCCGGTCCAGGGATCCCAGGTCCCCAGGATCCCAGAAGGGCCTCAGAGCCCATCTGGGACCTGAGCTAGACATCTCTAAAGTGCGTAAAGGAAACAATAAAAAATAAAGATTCTCAGGAGAAAAAAAACACTAAAGGGGACACAAAGCTGGTTTTGCAGTGGGGGGGGGCCAAAAGGGCCCTGGGCTCCGCGGGGCTCCTCAGTACTTGGGCACCTTGGTGTAGTCCTCTCTTTGGACGCTCTTGCACAGGCAGATGGACAGAACCATGCCCAGCAGCTGGAAGACACAACACAGCAGCCGTGAGGGGACCAGGCCCAGCACCCCCCACATTCTGTTGGTTTTTTTCATTTTCTAGGGCGTATTTACTTATGTTAATCTAATAATAAATATTTAATAAATAATTGAATATTTACTTGTAATGAACAACTAAATAAATTCTTTAACATTTGAGTCATTTTTTATTTTTACTGATTTGACTTATATTTATTCTTATTTATTGATAATACATATGTAATAAACTAATAGATATTTAAGTAATTATTATTTACTTGTACTTATTTAATAATTAAATGAATTAATTACCGTATTTTTCGCACTATAAGAGGCCTAAAAGCCTTCAATTTTCTCAAAAACGACAGTGCGCTTTTTAATCCGGTCGTCATATAATTGGATTGAGTCGCAACAGGTCTCACAGCTACGGGAAGCAGCCGCCTACTCAATTTTCTCTGTAGAAGAAGAGGCGCCACCTCCTGGGGATTCCCCGGTACTGTATTATGTACATATCTATGAGTACCCATTTTAAAAGTGGACGCAGTAAGAGATGGCGGCCGTTAAAAAAATGTGGACGTTAAAGGTAAACTTTTAATCTGATTCTAAGTACGACAACAGGTAGTTCAACTAATTCTATACCAGCGGTTTTGTTGTTTTTTTACGAGAAAAAGCCCGTCAGCTTTAAGCTAGCTGCTATATATTGTGATGCGCTAATGTCTGATTTACCGTAACTTATCAGACTGGTTCTTTTATGTGTTTGCTGAATGGAGGGAAAGTTCCCTCCATTACCTGATAAAAATGCTGTACTACCTGTTATACATTGTTGTTAAAAGATAAACTGGGTGGTGAAAACACTACGTCACTGACATTAGCTGGAACAGTAATAAAATAGCTGTTTATTCATTTTGGGAGAGAACAGAGTCGTCAGAACGCTGGCTGGTGTTCTCTTAATAAAGTCTGACTGATTATCTGACTGTTTAGTTGACTCTTCTGTAGCGCCGCTGCATCTGGTGGATGCTAACGCAGCCCCAGCCTCTACTGGAGCTTCTACTCTATAAGCCTTATAATGTGGTGCGCCTTATAGTGCAGATAATACGGTAAAAAACATTTGAGTAAATATTAGTGTGTTTTATGCTTTTCTCATTGATCTCTGCTCACTTTAAACACTTTCCCTTTTTTTAATCTTTGATTAGTCCAGCCCACAGGCCTGCCCCCCCCCCCCCCCCCCTCCCGAATCTGAGCACCCTCCATACCTCCACCAGCGCCACCCCCAGGCAGACGCCCAGCACCACCCCCAGGTTGGCGGTGAGCCACTTCTCCACGTTGGACGAGCATCCCTGAAGAGGGGAGAGGTCAGAGGTCAGAGGCTGGACAGAGGTCAGAAGCGGCGCCGGCGGGCGGGGCGGCGGCTTACCACGTCGTAGACGGGCCAATCGGGCGTCTGCGCCTCGCAGAAGCCGCTCTCAGAGAAGTTCCCGGCGGCCAGAGAGGCGTTGTGGCAGGAGCAGGGGAACAGCAGCTGCGAGCTGTTGGTGATCACCATGTTCCCGCTCCAGTCCAGGCGGCCGGACCAGCCACAGCACTCCATCTGAGGGGCAGGGGGCAGGGGTCAGAGAGCCCGCCAACACAGCAGGACACCAGCTACGGAAGCCCAGAGGTGCCAGCACTCAGAAGTTAAGAACAAATAAATAACAGCAAAAAAATAATAATCATTGAAAAAATACACACACACACACACATATATGTAAAAAAAAAAAAAAGTATTTATATAAAATAAAACAATTAAAATAACCAGATAAATGTTATATAATTTTTTTAATAATTTGTTGTATAGTAAAAAAATATATATATATTTAATAATAATAAAATTAAGAACACGAAAAAAAATGTATGGAAGCAAAATTAAACAAAAATATTAAACCTAATTAAAAAAAGCTTTTCACTGTACTTTTCTCTGTATGATTAAAGTGACTTTCTTTCTTTGTTGTTTCTCTATTTTCACCCTGGTGTCATTTATTCCCTGCAGGTTTTATTGGGTGCTGGTTTTAAACAGGAAACCTTTTTAAAATCAGACCCATTTCAGCTGGATTACGACTGCATGATGTAAAATGAAGTCATATCTGACGCTTTAACAACAAAATTGAATTGCAACTGAAATTCTCAATATTTTTTGTAACTGATTACATTTATAGAAGCATAAACTTCCATTTTATTTCCCTTTTTAAATTCCCCACTACGTGTTCTACACTCCTGTGTTCACCTCTGCTTCACGGTGTGACAAAATATACACAAAATGAAGAATAAATCTCATCTACATAAAAGAAAGAATGAAATATGTTCCAGTTCAGAGGACAGCAATGGAAACACAAAATGAAACTGTAAAAGTAACAAACAAAAATAATTTTCTTCAATCTAATTTGATCATTTTTCATTACTTGACGTTTTATTTCATCTTGGTTGCATCTGTGATTTTAAAAAGTTCTATTTTCTATATTTTTCAGTGTTTTGGGTGGAAGCAGGTTTTGATGATGAAACTGCTAATGCTGATAAATAT